GAGAGAGAGAGAGAGAGAGAGAGAGAGAGAGAGAGAGAGAGAGAGAGGAACCCAGCAGCTCCAAGAATGGCTTTGTTTCACTTTTCAAAGTTTTAGGAGTTTGTGGTGCATTAGTGTAACCTCATTGAACCTTTTTGTTTTTATGACACCACCTTGATTTAAGCATCAATACACTGAAATGATCCATTGGCAGTTGGTGGAAAGAGCCAAGCTGCAAAATACTGAGGGGGAAATGTGTGATCCCTGGCAGCTGATGGCTCGACACACTGGCAGCAGTAGTCTAGCCGTACACGTATAAAAGGACTCAAGAATATTTCAAGAATTTGTTTGGCCAGCTGCTGTGTTGCCTACACGAAGCTATATCTCTGTCTGGTGGGGACCCCTGGTTTATATAAACTACCCATGACATCCACCGACTGGCTACTTCAACACAGGACGAGTGTCTGTGTCGTACAGTCGTGTTGTGGGAAGATGTTTAACTAGTCGTCACATAAAGATGGACTTAACTGCACAGCTGTGCGCTATTGAAAGAGGAAAAGTGTGACAAATACAATTCTATTGTTAACTGTTGTTTACCGTCAACAGAAGAGATTATTACTCATTTGCATGACTTCACTTCCCCTATATCTGATTTTAGGTGCTCAAACTTTGTATGCTGCCTGTTTCCACAAGACGCTGCTGCTCTTTTATTCTATTAACCATACGAGTCACTGAACCAAATATCTGCTGCTTTGTCCCTGTGGCTGCTGCTTCCTGGGTGCCGTGTCATTTGAGATCTGATTCTTGAGTGTCTGGGAATTGCTGGACCTTTTTCTCTGCGTGTCTAAGCACCGACATTCCTGGAAAGCCAAAATGAATATTGAGATTCCGAATGAATGTGAGCCATGCAGTTGGAGAGCAGGTGCTGCTTCTTGGTCCCAGTAAATCATGCATACTGTCCCACCACCGCCGTGCGTTTCCCTCTTTTTAGTCGAGGCAAAAAAAAAAAAAACGGCAGGCCACAAAAGAGCCTCTGCATTGGTAGCCTGGAAGTCAGAAGAGAAGGGGTGAAGTTAAGAAGGCTCTTTGCAAATCTTAAGATGGTACATTTGTAAGTCGTACCAGCCCTTTGAAACATCCAGGAGATGGCAGTAGAAATGCTTCGACCAGATATTTGATCTTTGTACAATAGAGCTTGACACTGACACAGTTTATTGTAAGAAAACCAAACCGACGAGGTGAAGAGTCAGAGCGTCGTTAACAGTCAGTTATCCAGTCGTAGTCATCTATTACCCGTGATCAAAGCATGGGGTTTTGGGCTTTTAGACACCTTGCATGTTGTCCCACAAACCTGGACCCAGAAATATGTACAAAGTGAAACAGTTGAACAAGACACTGCTGTTGGTTACTAATGAATACACTCATCATTATTGGTTGATCGGTCGAATACTTTTTCAATTAATGGAGTATTTTTTTGGTCCATACAAAACATGGTGAAAAAAAAAATGGACAATCACAAATATATTAAATTTGCTATCATGCAACATATAAAAAAAGCAAGAAACCTTCATATTTGAGAAGATGAAATCAGCTCATTTTTGCTATTTCTTTCTGACAATAAACCAATCGATTAGTTGAAGAATAGTTTTAAAGCTGAAACCAGACTTTAGACTTCTGTGCTGTTTCTCATTTGTTTCTCCTGGGCCTCTGTCTTTGTCCTACTGTGTCTACGTTTTATAGTAATGGTGCCTTTGCAAAGGGACATACATTTCAGTCAGGTTGCCACCAACCGCCTATTAGGATGCTGATAAGAGGGTGAAGTAAAGTGTAATCTCTTTGTATCTTTGTCATTGTTGTTGACACAGTTTCAAGCTCAGACAGGAGCGCTGAGTTATTTGATACTGACTCAAGTGTTCAACCCTCAGTATGTGGCCACTCCTCTTCACCAGGCAGCGCTCTCTTAGTGGGCGAGTCCCTCATTCCTGTCCGGACTCCGCTCAGCTCAAGTTTTGTGCATTTCCAGTTAAGTCGGCAACTCTCTGAGAAAGGTTTCACTCTTAGGATTTTGACAGTTTTTCTAAGTTTCTCACAAAGTAAGTCGATTTTTTTTATATATGTGGTCTAATTGGCAGTCTTTCATGTACTTACTTTGTCTATTGTCTTCTGGGTGAATTCATTTGGATTTATGTGGAATAACTGTCATTGTGTTAATAGTGTTGTTGGGTTAATATTTCATATAGATATTTATGCTTTTACAAACGATGACAGTGCGGTGTGATTTGTTTTTTCTGTGGTACTCACGCTTGACTTAAACAAATACCTCCAGGTAGTGTTTTGTATAGTTTCTTAGCACCTTCACAGAAATGTTTGACTTAGATAAAATATGTCTTACAAAACAAATGTTACAGATTGCTCTGTATACAAGCAGTTCTTTGTATCTACTTTGAAGGTAAGATACTGTACTGTACATCTACAGTACATCAAACTACTGAAGTACTTCCAGTTCAGTCCACCCTTGTGCGGTGGAAGGATGAGCCTCTGCTGCTGTTTCAGTGGATTTCAGTAATTAGCACACATTCAACTGTCGAAGTGGAATCTGAAATCTCAAAACACTCCGAGACTTATGACTGGACACCACAGATTTAAAGTACAGCATGTCTGTGTCTTTATTGATGGATTACATTACTTAATTGTGTGAAGACTTGCTGCTTGTCTGACTGTTGGTTGGATTAAAAAAAAAAGCATAATGGGCTTTGTGTACATGTGACAGGGTACTTGTCAGTATTTCCACACATTTTATAGACTTCTATAAAAGTCCATAAATCATATTTATTCCTACTTTTTTATTGATCAATAAGGAAAATGATCAGTAGTTTCATTCCTAGTGGGTTTATTTCCGTACCTTTCTGATTTCTGCTGTCATCAAATTAGTTAGCTAAGTGATCCTCAAACACTAACAGCTGCTTGTTGTTTTATAGTGTGTAGATATAGTCAAAAACCCTGTGCTCTAGTAGCATACCTACCAAATTCAACAGACTGGTTCATTTTTTTAGTAGTCATTTATAGGTTTTTGTCAAAAGTACCAGTCGATGGCAAGAAAGCATTTTTGTAAACGTAGCATATGTCTACATTTATATTTCAAACTGAAACGGCACTATATTCAGCAGTGTAGGTTGTGTTGTCATTTAAGTATGTTGGACATCAGCTGTTCAGCCTTAATTTAGCAAACACAGCAGACAATTATCTGTGATTCTAAGGAGTGAAGCTCCAGTCATGATCATGTGAGCTGTTAGGAGGAGGGGTCATGTTCATGTCATGTTCAGGATAATATGGATCACCAAGAGGATGGACCAACATGGAGAAAAAAAAACAACTCTTGTTGCTCTTTACCTCACCTCATCTAGCTGTTCCTAAAAACAGGGACTGCTGGGAAGCGTCCTACCCCGGGTGGGTGTTGGTATGCAACCAGCGGCACATTCCTGTAACCTCTCGGTTAATCATTGAACCAACGAGTTTTACAGTTATTATTTGACACCAGCCGCTCACATACGGCTCATGCGTCCTGAACCTTTTATCTGAAGGAATGAGATAATGGCGATCATATGACATCAGAGACTAACAAACAGTCCACACCCTAGACTTGGCAACATGTGCACTACTCATGCTGTGGGAGACTATGACTCCACCTGACTGTATGGTCAAGAAGGCAAGTCACACCTGAGTCACTCACTCACCTGGTCAGACGATTAAACAACTTAACCAAACAATCCATTTAGCTGTTACCGTGTTTCAAAGAAGGAAGGGCTCTAGCTGATTAGCTATAAAAGCTAAGGAGAGAGGAGAAGAACAAAATGTTTGACTCACTGATGATGAAAGTGCAGGCTGGGTATGCAAATTAAGACAACATGCAAGGTCATTGATCAATACCATGTTGAGCAAAAAGAGGGTGCAACCAAATCATGTACCCGTGAGACCAACTGAGAAAGTGGGCAGCAAGTGGAAAAGTTAGTCTGGAGTTGTTTCTTTAATCCTATCTTATATTCAGGTGTCTTGTCCGAGTGGACACCTCGACGCTGCAGGCTTAAACACGGTCTCTTTCTAAACTACATTGTTACACTTTGAATCTGTTCTGCTTTGGAAAAGACAATACTGTCGTCACTAAATGTTTTTCATGATAGAAGTTATCTCTTGTCTTGTCTCGTTCAGAAGTGTGGACATGTTTAAGAACTTGCCACAAAGAATCCCTGACTTTTGTGATCATCAAGGCTGATGTAGATAATTGTGACGGATGTTTAAAGCTGAAATAATACATTACAGGAAATGGTGAGCGTCGACGTCATCCACTAACGAATAGCAACAGCTCAATTCCCTGACATGGAGGGCAACGGAGAGATCAGTGACACTGACAGCGGCATCATCCTTCATTCAGGTAAAACACTTGTATGTCTCACTTTTTAAAAAATATTTAAAAACCGAGGAAAGCACATACATGCAGGGTTTTTTTCCAGGCTCTAAAGTATCTCCAGGTAGTACACGTTAATGCAACATAACAATTAAACTTGATCATCAAGCCTGTTCCTCCGTTAATGTAGTCTCAGGATATAACAGCTTGCAGAAGTCCACATGTGCTTGATTCCTAAAAATCTACATCAACAACATCATGAGACCTGAAATTAGTAGAAACAAACTGTGGACTGCAGATTGTCTTTGGCTGGTTGGCAGATGTGTATCTGAGGGACCCTGGGCAGCTTTGTTGAGTTGTGTCAATTAGTGAAAGAGGATTTAACTTCTCTGACTTTTCAGACAATAATTAATACTGAAAACATTGTGTGAGACCTGCACCCTTGGGTTACATTACTCATTATTTAAGAAGCAAAGCATCAAGTTCTTTCAGCCAGTAGACGCTTGCTGGAAGCACAAATCAATGTTGAAACCGAGTACGCACCTTTAGTCCAGCTCGTGGTAATCTTATCACAACACCAGCTAAGTGACCTCAAACAGACTTTTGATGTTGATCTCTTTCTGATAAAGACACAATTTACATCTACCTACTCATTCTGTACTTCACCGCTGTTAAATTGAAACCCAGTTGGTAACATTCATCTTTTCCTGACACTGTTCACCTCTTTTGTTTCAAGATCATTATTGAATCGCTTCTGCTTCACACAAATATTTAGCATTATGACTTCCTTTCAGAGAATAACACACTCGTTGCAGATTACATTGAGTTACCAGCTACTGCTGTAATTCTCTTGGCCACAGAGATCTCAATAACAGGATCTACACTCTGAAATGAACTCCCCACTTCAGCACGGACCAAACCGATTGTTTTAGGTAGTAATTCCAGCCAGTTGAAAACAAGAGCAAGTCATCTACTTAACAAAAGCAAGTTATAATGTGGGAACTCTGTCAGGGACTAAAATGCATGTGGTCCTTTGTGATTTGCTGCCAGATTTGTCGCTGTACTCGACACATGTAGGATACATCGTAATTAATCCAGATTAAAAGAGCAATTAACCGATTTGGCATTGCACTGTAACATTGTGTATTTAGGATCAACAAAAAACTTTGGTAGTCTTGTTGCTGCTACACCCAGCAGTTTCTAATTCTGGTCCTTCTGACATTCTTGATTGACACACGTGATGTCTGCCCGATACAATGAAGAGGTGTCGGTCGACAAAGAATCGGGGGATTGTCCCTCTAGGAAGAGGAATTCTTCGCCCTATTGTGGTGCTGTCACACTTCTTTCCTGTCGCACCTCGGATGTTTGTCAGTACCTGCAGGGATTCTGTTAATAATCTCTGAAGGTATGTGGAGCTCAATGCAGTTTGCCTGACGCCACGCCCACAGCCACTGAGACTAATCTTAATGTCATTAGTCCCCAAGGCTGCAGACGGCACCAGTCGGACACTTGCACATTGTTTATACCACCAGTTATTCTGCATGCCACTAAAGAAAACAACGATAAAAACAAAAGGTACGTCGTGTTGAATGTAGCCGTTGTGTTGTCCTTAGTGGCCTTGAGAGTTATTCTGAAGCAGCATCATAATGGTAAGGGCACCATAATATGAGCATGCCAGGATACTAACTAGGCAAAGTAAAAAATATATAAATAAAAATATAACAGGCAGACGCAAAGATCACCATCAACCATCATGAAGAACATGAAATAGTAGGGAGCTTGATGACTAATTATTTTGTTGCTCAAACACATGTGATTTACTTTGTTTTCATCGTGGTTAAAAATACATCACACACACACACACACTATGCACTTATGTTCACCGAGTTGCCAATTAATAATAAAACACCTTTCAGTGTAATACAATGCAATTCAATCGCACCAGAACCAAGTCTCAGTCTCCAAAATGATCATTAAAAAGTTTAATTTTCCAATTTTTCTGTATTTCTCTTTGGAATGAAATGGTCCACTCCTTTTTAAGTTTGGTCTTTACTTATTCATTTCTAACTTTGATTTCCTCTTGCTTAAGGTCTCGCGTGTTGAGTACTTTAATAAATAAGGTGTAACAGTCTGTATGCTTCTTTCTTGTTGCGTTACGCAGGCTCAGACAGCCCAATGACGCATACGAAGGATGTGACCACGCACACGCGGGCCATGAAGCTCAAACACCAGGCTCTCCAAGACCGACTGGAGCTCTGCCTCCTGGAGTTGAAGAAACTCTGCATACGAGAAGCTGTAAGTAAAATGAATCTACACATCAACAGGCCAACAGTTTGAAACAACAACTGCATTTTAGAATTACAGTGACAACGTGTCACAGAACTAAAGAGCCACATAATCATGAGGATTTAAGCTCATTCAAATCTTAAAGGTTTTTAGTAGTAGTACATTACTAAAGACAAAAGTCAAAATATTCATTACTTAATGAGGCCAGATGTTACAATGTGCGCTTGCCATATTTCATGTGATTCAGCGGCTTTTATAAAAGATTAAATAGGTGGAGTAGTTGAGTGCAGGATGTTGACGCATTTTACTGCGTGTTAACAAAGTGACCTGTGTTCAGCCTTGTCCACACTGATGTGGGGGAATTAGAAAATGTTGTTCGGGAGTCAGAACGTTTTGTTTCTTCACTTGGGCTTTGAGGTTTTTGTGGGGTTTGAGTTTCAGTGGTTCAAAAACACAACAAATTTATGAATTTTCCATTTTCTTCTGCATTAGCTTCAAAGTGTCCTTAATGTCACAATGGTTATCTCCAGTCTCAGTCCACTGAGGGGAAACAAACACTCTTTAAACCTTTCCTCCTGTCCGTAGTGATGTTAGAGAATACAAACATCATCGCTTTCCTTTCAGACATATTGTGTTGTGAAGTTAAACCGCACAATGTGGCTGCAATGAGATTATTTATTTTTTATTTTTTAATGTATCAAAGCCTTTGAAGAGGTATCCTGGTGGTTCAGTTGGCCAAAGTAATTTCAATGTTCCCATGACAGAGACTTTTGTCATGTCATCCCTTCATTTACGATATTATCTGCCTCTCCTTCGCTCTCTGCACCGGGAATTACCAAATGGACGAAAGACATAAAACGGTCGCACTGAATCATTTCGAAACTGGGCACATATTCGTCCGGGTGTTTTCCCTGCCATGCGTCGGTTCTCCGGTGTAAAATCCCAGGACTGATCATTCTTTCCTGTTGACACTGGGGCCGGGCACTCCTGTCGCGACACGCTCAGGTGAACTAATGGGAGGCGTGATGCCTCTCCCTTCTCTTAGTGACAAAAGAACAAGTAAGCTTATTGGCCCGTGCTTACGTGTTTGTCTGTCTGCCCAGGTGGCTGGTTAGGAGTGACTCAAACTAACAGTTGTTATGAGTCTTAGACCGGTAACCGTGTGCCGTCGTGCTCTGCGGTTGGTTTGGACAGGGATACTCGACACAGTGAGAAAGAATGTGTTGTGAAAGGGAATCTCTGGAAGTGCAGAATTGTGCAAACGATTCCTTGAACCTATATGCCTCAACATGTAAAGAGCAGAATGAGATACTACATCATCGGGCATGGTTACATAAATTCTCAAGAGGTGTGTGTGTGTGTGTGTCTGTGTCTTTATTTGTACAACTGAACTGAAAGGATTTATTAGTGTTTGAAAAAAATGTCTATTTTGATTACCAATCATGATTAACTACATCTGTCCTAAGAAAAACAACAACTTTTAGTCACGTTTAAATGTTGCTTTGCTGACATTTGACTTTCTGATACTGTCTGTGTGGTTTAGGAGTTGACAGGCCAGCTCTCAGATGATTACCCTCTGCTGCCGGGAGAGAAGCCTCCGCAGATTCGCAGACGTATTGGAGCTACGTTTAAACTGGACGAGCAAAGCTTCCCTCGAGGAGCAGAGGTAAAAAAAAAAAAACAGCATTTATAAACAATAACGCTAACCTCAAGGACATACAATGTTTCAAGAGTCACACTGATTTCTCGCTCTTGTCACCGCGCCATTTTATAGGAGTCAAAACTGAGTTTAGTGGATGCTGAGTTGGCGCTTCAGATGAAGATATACGAGGCAGCGCGCAAGCTCTGCGAGGAGGATCACCCGAGTAAGGCTGTTAAAAAGAGCCGTTTACAGCAGTGCAAGAGGGAGGAGAAGAAACTCAAACAGCTGCAGGAGACGGCTTTTCAGCTCCGACTGGAGCGCGGTCGGTCATCGCCACTCCCTGCTTTCAATATTGCACAACACGGTGAGAGGCGCCTGGCCAGACTAGAAGATAGTTAGCCATTAAATCCCATCTGTAATCACCTGTGCAAGGAGTTAATTGATTGTCACTTCATAACTTAATCATTAATTAAACCGAAATGTATCGTCTGATACTTCACATGTCAACCGAAGTGTCTTTTTCTGATTTTCAGATCTGGGTACATCTGATGACAGCTCTCTGTCTGATTCTGTAGTGCAAGATGAAGGTAAGATTTAGCCTAAAATCTAGTGTTGGTGAGAGTTGGAACAAGACCAACTTTCTGTAGTTTGAATACTTTTAGTGCTCATGTGTTTTCTCCAAATAGAAGATGCTTCCTCAAAGAATATGTTAACATATTTGGACGATATTAACATTTATCAAGAGTAAATTTCTGCAGGTATCCTACATTACATAATTTCTATTTTTTTTCCACTAGAGGTGACAAGTCAGTCATCACAGCTGTCTTCTGGACTCCCCGACCCAGCAGAGGCCGATCCTCCCCAGCCTCCTGTGTCCTCACAGTCCTTCATAGACGGCCCCTACAGGTCTCCATCTGTGGCTCCACAGTCCCTGCCGGTGACTCCAAGCCAGTCTCCCCGTCCTAATCTTGACTCTATGCTGAGTCTAAACTCGAGCCCTGTATGTGACCTTCCTCCCATCCAGCACTCCCCGTGGTCAGAGACTAGTCTGGACCAACCTTACCAGAAGAGCAGGAAGTCACGCTCCTCCAGCAAGACGAGGTAACACCGACCATCCATCATGACTCCTTTCCTGTTCATCAACTTTTTAGTATGGGGGGGGGTTAACTGGATTGTAGTAAGCTGCGTGAATTTCAGATTTTGTTTCTACTAGTAACATAAGCAAGATTGAGAGTGAAATGATCCTGGTTGGATTCTTTGCAAATGCTGGGAAAAAAACAATTAGTAAAAAAAGTAAATAATTAATGCTGCAATTCTGCCTTTGACAAAACATTGTGCACCCTTTCAAGAATTTTAGTTTCAATCTTTTCAATGATTCTGGGCAAAAGCTCATCGAGCAAAGTCGTTTCTAGTGCATACGCTCTTATTCTTGCATTGTATTGCAAAGATGTCAGTGATGTTTATGAATGTTCAACACTGCCATCTGCTTTTGCTCTGGTGCTACAACAGCAATGGCAAGAATACAGAACAATGAATCCTTCTGATTGATTATGACACTTTGACGCAGAGGTAGAATTCAGGCTTTGTCAGTGTAATGGATTAATGCCACAGGATGTCAGAGGCAATATAGCAATTTATGGAAAATGTTACAACCCTTTTATAATCCGCTTTATTAACTGAGTTGGCTTCACATTTTTATTCATTGGTATTTCCACTGTTGCCTGGGTATTTACCTAAGTATTTAAAGATGTTTTGATGCATGAAAACACAAACTGAGAAACAAAATTTAACGTATTTCTTGTGCTGCCATTTTGTGCGTTCAGCAGTCCAGCCAAAAGTGAATTGCTGCCACCGTTGGAGGCTTGCTTTGCTTCCCACCTGAGGCTGAGCCGCACTCAGTCGAACAGCACGCCTTCCACACCAGAGATGCGAGTGCACAGACAACTCTCCCTCAGGTAGCCGCACCTCAAATACATCCACAGTACTGTATGTCCGCAGCACAACTATAGTGAACCTGGGATTAACTTCAAATTGCAGTGATATTTTTGACCTCTCCACTTATTTTTTTTGATTTTTTTGACTGTGAGATGTACATATTTTTAAAGGTTCATGTGTTTGCTAAGTGGCTATACTAATGCACTTGATGTCTACACAGAATATCCAACTCTGAATCTTCATTTGAAAAGGACCGCGGTCGCACCAGAGGTCCACGGAGGCGACTGACAGAATATTCAATAACTTTACCAGAGACCCTCCCTCCCACGGTGAACTACGGAAACCACGTTAACTCTGAGGATAGCAACTCTGAACACTCGTTTACATCTTACAACAGCTCACCGTGTAAGGAGATGCCCTGTGATTCGCCCAAGCAATATCAGTCTGCACATCCGCATTCTAGCCCAGTTGGCAGCTATGGACCTCAAGCCTTCGCACGCCCCGGCTTTTACCATAATCCCAGGCACCAGTCCAGCACCGGTTTTCCCAAAGCCTATTACAATCAGGAAATGGTCTACCAACACGATCTGGACTTGGCAGGGAGCTATTACGCCCAGCCGGCTCCCTGTCCTTCCAACAGATATGAGTATTACTATAAAGAGGCCACTGTGCCCCACCGGAGAGCACAGATGCCTTTACTCCCTGAGGTCCGACTCTCCCCCGCCCCGGCTCAATGGGACCATCCACACTACCGCCCCAATGGCCTCCCTCAACAAGTAGTGAATGAACAGCTTAAGTCATGGCACCTGCGCAGTCAGCTCAAATCCCCTCGGTCTCGCTCTCTTGACAGACAGGGAGCAGTGAGAATTAAAAACGTATCCACTCGGGAGGCGACCTTCCACCAAAATCACAATTACCATGAACAGGTAAGCAGACAAAAGTCATTTGATACATGTCTTACAGTTTGTCAGCCCAAATTACTGCAACTAGTGGCGTTACGAATAGTCACTGTCTTATTTCAATAGTAGTTCAGGGCTCTTCTCATCACATTTCCACAATGTGTCTGACTTTTTAAGGAATGAATAATAATTGGAAATCACAGCTTTTTACGTGCCAAAGCGGCTGGAAAATGAAATACATTTTGTATTTGTTACTATTATATTTGCATCCTACTAAAGTGTTGTTTCTTTTTTCTTTTGCTGACGTTCAGGTCTTCCAAAGAAAGGCTCTTCAAAGAGCTGCAGATGACACTCAAGGCCACTGGGTTGTAGATGATGGCTCTCACTTTGTAAGTCAAGTGTAACTCACGGCCACCAAGACCGCAAACTGAACATTGTGAACTCAGAAGCTACAACTGTATTCATTGCCAATCAACCAAAGTGAAGTTGTTGAAGTCGAAATAACTGTTGATCCCCACAAACATGACTCGTGTTTACCTGTGTTTGGGCGTATAAAGGGAGAATTTAAAAAACTGGGACGTCTTTCAATATAATGCAATTTAGTACAATAACTACGGCCACCAATGTTACTGTAAAGTTGTACATCTCTCTGACCGTCAAAGCAGAGCAGTTGTATTGGATTTCAAGCACAACTGTAAAGTGTACTTGTTGTTTTTGTCGACCGTCTGTATGTTGTTTTGTACTAACGGTTACAAATTAAGCATTGAACTGAGTGCTTGTTGGTGATGTTAGTGAGAGCTGTTTTAACCTGCGACTGTAAATCTGCTGCCAGCTCAAAATTGAACATTCAGTTTCTCAAAAAACAAATTATCAGCAATTTCTGTGTCATTCATTACAGGGTTATTATGATATAAAAAAGCAATTATAAATGAAATGACAATTAACAGCAAATTGGCAGTAGTTCTAAACCAGAAATGTTCCACAAAATTGCACATTGTAGTCAGATTGTGAATGTTTTTAAAGTAACTTTTCACATGTTACTTACATTTAGGTCATTGTTGAAGTTAATCTCCGATGAATTATGATTATTTATTTCAAAATAGCCACATGTAAAGCTGTCAACAAAACAGATTTAGGTACTTAATAATACAACATACATAGTACTGCATTAGATGTGGCTATCTGTAGCCAAACACACTGCCATTAATGCATACGTCTGTGAGGATGTGCTCAAGACAGAGAACTTTACTTGTTGCAGTTTGGTAGATGGAGAATACAGTGCTCCTTTTCACCAGCTGTATTAAGGACATATATTCATTGTGACATAATGTAAATGAGTAGCATATCCTTTTTAACTACATTTTGTGTATAATGGTGCCATGATTGTGTCACCATGTTGATGAACTTGAGCTGCTTAAATTTAAGATCCCACTTGTGTCCTCATGTAATTTTGGAGGCTATTTTGTCTTGTTTTTATACCTTTGTATGTCTGCGGCTCTGCCAGTTAACTTGAATTACTAATGGACTTAATCAACTAGTTGAAACTAGATATTCATTTACTCACATGAGTTATAAAGTAGCAAATTTAACAAAAGCAGATTCTTGATGCTTGGCAGCTATTGATGTGTTCACTTGAGATGTACATGTCCTGAGCTTTAACAGAATCTTTATCAGTGTTTGTGACTAGACGCCATTCTTGTTGTTAGAACCGATAAAATTTCAACTATGAGGTGAAATGTATTTTAAACACTGCCAATATGTGATTCACAATCAAGTCCCCAATCAAACAAGCTTTTTATGATAGATCATATGAGAATGAGAGCAAATTACTGCAAATTCAACAACAGCTACACACTGACTGGTCTCTCATTGATCTATTTATGCGTTTATTTATTGTGATGTTTACCATTGGACCCATGGAAAGTCAGACTTGAAATAAAAGAAGACATGGACCTGAGTTTGCCAAAAACAGCAGCAGTAAAGACTGTCTTATTGTGTGTATGTATATACAAAAACAGACCACAATCATGTTACCTTGTGTGCCTCTTTTTTATTGTCTTTTTTTATTTATCCATTAAATTAGTTTAAATGGACTTAATAATAAAGCGTTATGTTGCTGTTGATACATCTGTGAAAATGTTAACCCTGTGGAGGAAAATAAAGAGTAATGTTTGCATAGTGTTTAATTTAATCCCTCCTATATGTTTTTTTTTTTTTTTTTTCACGAAACATTTTTGACATGTCACAATAGGAAAAGCAGGTCTAACGAGTATAATTAATGATGGCTAAATTCCATTTAGCTGCTTCAGGTTCAGGGTCCTGGTATTTGCATGCTGGCTCACTGTCACAGACTTTTATCCAGGTCCTTTTTTTTTTTGTGTCATTTTCTGCTTTATTTATCGTGAATTATATCCCCAAGATAGATAGTCACTGTATAGAAAGGTTAACATACAGTATTTCTGGCCACAGCATTTCAAATACATCTGATGTATAAAATATTACACCTCTTGTCTCTGAAATGTATTAAATAAACTATATTTGATATGGTTTCAAATACCATTTTTTTTTTTTAAAAACGCTTTGCGATTCGTGCTGGGATGGATATATATATATAGATATATAGATAAACATTCAATAGGATGTAGTTTTTCTACTTGTGAATTTGTGCTTTTATTTTGAAACATAAATACTCGGGTTGGGTTAACGGAAGAGCTCTCTACTTCCGGAAAGGATTGTGTTTCGCGCATTGATAAAAAAAATTCACCTTCCTGGTTCTAAAGCTACCTTGTCAGGTAACTTATGTATATTTAAATTGCCATTGCACATGTTGGTACAGTATGATAGGTTTGTCTATACAACGATATATGTTCGCGTCGTTGTAAAGACTTAATCTCGAGCAAGTTGATCCACGAACCAGTGTCGCCTGCTTGACTGGTTATCCGACAGCTCAGCGCTAACGTTAGCATAAAGGTATCGTTAGCAAGACGATTCACGAGCGATCCGTGACCTGCTAACTTAACGTATCAGCGATTTTTAATCAACCTGAAATGCAGACCCATGCTACGAACTCAACTTTCCTAAATACGATGGATGTCGTCAGTATTTTGCGGTTGTTTACATTTTGTACTCCCTGTTCCTTCTGACGCGGTGCTAATCAACATCCGTCTGGCAGGCTTCGCTTAGCACAAACTCGGTTAAACGTTTGTGTTATCGGCTTCAGTCTTGGGTCCAATGTCAATGTTATATCTTATATCTGGGATATTGTCACTGCTGTAATTGTCGACCGAATAATTTTGTCTGCTGACATAGATTTAAAGCTGCTCCTTTGTTCTCTTGTTGTGAATGTCTGATCGATGTAACCCAGATTTCACGTGAGACCCAGATTAATCACCAGCCATATTAAATCAGGAGTTAGATAACACTACGTGTTTATCACTCAAAAGGGAAATTATTGATCTGCAATGACCCTGCTTTACTTAATCACCTCGCTGTACTATATACTACAGTGTAATAGACACATATAACATGTACATAATATCCGTTCACTGTTATGTTAGGCTGTGCAGACTGTATGTAGTGCACGTGTACTGTATCCTATCTATGCACATCTCTGTATATTGATGCTATATAGATTTGTCAAGACCGACCTATTTATTGTGACCGATACCAATAAATTACCAAAAAACAATAATCTTGCAATTGCAGAAAATGAAAGATAAAAACGACACAGCATTTATTTGATTGCTAGGCCTTCATTATTCATACAGTAAAGAATATATTTAATTGTTGTTAACTTTTATGTATATCAATATAACCCCAGACACTTGAGTGTCTGGGGTTATATTTTTTAAACATGTCAGATCGTAAAAAACAGCAGCAGTCAGATCGTATTGACAAGGTATAGAAAATACTATACTTTTTAAAATACTCTGGGTTTTCTCTTACTTACAGCTGAACCCTTTCAAGTGAAATCTCTTGTCTGCAGCAGTTGTAACCTGGCTTCACATTATTATGATAATTATGATCCGAAATTCCATTATTGGAACAGTCTTAAAAATTACATTTTCTCAATTATTGGCTAATAATTTATCAGCCACATGCATATCTACTTATAATCTATACAATACCTATTTCAGCTGTTTTATATTGACATCTTTTTGTAGCTTATTGTCTTTTTTTTTAGCTCTATGTATATTTTTGTACACTCCTGTAAATGTGTTCTCTGCTGTGCAGACTTTATTGAGCGCTACTGATGACTGATGTTTTTTTGTACACGTCAACATACTTAACCAGTCGAGCTGATTGTGATTCTGGTTGCTCAGCAGGAAACTGAAGTGTACCTTCTGAAGCAGAATACAGAGGCTGTGAGTGGGTCATCAGGCAGTATCCCTATGTCAGGCCGAAACGGGTCTGCAAGTGATGCAGACTGCCGGATCTCTGAGGACTGTAATGTCCCAGATGTTGAGCTGATGGAGCTGGGGCCGCTGCTGGAGGAGGTAGGGGGGCGACAGGCAGCATCTAAAGGCGTCCTTTCAGAGGTAGGACTGTTGCACAAAAAATCCCAGAGAAAAGGTTGTTATGGCTCAGTCGCGTCAGTGTTCTCTTGGGATCTCTTTAAAGGGAGCCGCAATGCTTGCTGACGAGGAAGAGGAGGATGATGAGGTGGGAGAGGTCCTGACCTTACCCCTTCAGGCTCACCACGCCATGGAGAAGATGGAGGAGTTTGTACACAAGGTAAAAATGTCTTCTCACTTTAATTAAACACACAACTTTGTATAAGTACCAGTTCAGTTAACGGCACCAGTCCAGATCTTATTGTGATAAACTGCCAGTCAGAAGTGTGAGATTGGTGTGAACAGGTCAGCACATGTTATCCAATCTGTTTTCACCGACCTGCTCCCACCTGTAGACGGAAAGAACAAACACAGATTTCTACAATGACAATTATTGATGTAGTTACCACAGGTATAAATGTCAGTTTAACAAAGTTGATTGTGATTGTTAAATGTTTGTTGGAGAATAAAAGATCCTATGACATCGCACAATTTGGCACCGAGCATAAATATTGCATCGCCAACGTAACATGAGCTGAAACTCGGCACCGTGTTTGTCTCAAAAGTGTATAACAGGTGTGGGGGGTCTGTTGTAGTTTAGCAGAGAGGTTCATGGACATGCAGGTGCAGATCTGGGTGAACAGCAACAACCAGCGATTACACTGCTGTGTAGTGTGAGTGAGTCGTACGTGGGGGGGTTAGTAATGCCACGTCAGACGCATGTTGTGTGTTGTTAAAGACTCACACAAGTCCCCATGGGAGACAACCGTAAGGTAGTTAACAATAAATCAACATTTAAGGTGTTGATTTCACTGCTACTACAGAAATTCAGTTTGACTTAAATTTCAATAAAGATTATCTGCGCTTAAACTATTTTAACTGTAAAGTAATTTAAACCAAAAATATTAGTCTCTGCATCATCAGCCATATGCTAGTTGTAAATGTATGCGTCTGTGAGTGAAAGCAATTCCTACTTTTCAGGTTTGGGAGGGGCGCTGGAGGGTCATCCCTTTCCATGTCCTGCCAGAGTGGCTGAAGGACAACGACTACCTTCTGCATGGACATCGGCCCCCTATGCCCTCCTTCAGGGCCTGTTTTGGGAGCATCTTCAGAATTCACACTGAGACAGGAAACATCTGGACTCACCTGTTAGGTGAGAATAAAATGCCTTGCATAACATCCCAAAAAATGTTAACAAACATGAGTTTTAGCAGCAGATTATAATCTTGTTAACAACCAGACATGTTAGTTTATTAACATATCTTTTAACTGGATAACTCTGGGCTGCTCTGGTCTCTTCTCTTGTCAACTCTCAGTAAAACTGGCCTATTTTCTCCCCTCAGGGCTGATCTTATTCATCTGTCTGGGCACGTTAACCCTGCTGCGGCCCAACATGTATTTTATGGCCCCGCTGCAAGAGAAAGTGGTGTTTGGGATGTTCTTCCTGGGAGCTGTCCTCTGCCTCAGCTTCTCCTGGCTTTTTCATACAGTCTACTGCCACTCGGAGAAAGTGTCTCGCACCTTCTCCAAGTAAGGCCTCACACCGTCAAACACTGCTTCACACATACTGGCCTCGTTGTTTGTCACTGTCAACATATTTTACTATTTTAGACTCGCTGCTATGGAATACACTGGTTCTTAATTTCAGGGATGCATATGGTTCTTCATGCTACTACTAGAGTTCAGTACAGTTAATGAGGGAAACACCCACAGTCATTATTAAGGGCAAAATGGCTTCATACTGATCTGTGGTTAAAGCTGCTAGATGAGTGCATTCACGCTTACAGACTGCTGTGGCATCAGGTTAATTTAGGCTGAATTATCAACCTGTATGCTACATTGGGATAGAATTAGAAATGTACCAGCTATTGCCCTAAGTATTGATGTTCCTGTGAAAATGACAGTAATCAAAAATCCACAGCATAGTTGTTAACGTGTGTTAAGAAACATGAGAAAACATCAGCTTTCTTGCAACAAGCAGATCTTCCGGCCAAACACCCAGCTGTTGTCTCTTTGTCACCCCCTCTCTTCAGGCTTGACTACTCGGGCATTGCCCTCCTGATCATGGGCTCCTTCGTGCCCTGGCTCTACTACTCCTTCTATTGTTCTCCTCAGCCTCGACTTATCTACCTCACCATTGTATGTGTCCTCGGCATTGCAGCAATCATAGTTGCACAGTGGGACCGGTTCTCTACACCTCGTCACAGACCTACACGAGCAGGTGCTAACCAGTCGAGGATAATATGCACTTTTTTGATAGTGTTTCCTCTGTAATGTTTGATTTGGGGTTATAATTGTGTTGTGGATGAAAGTAACAAAGGTCCATGCTTCTCTTAGGTGTGTTCATGGGTCTTGGGCTAAGCGGCATTGTCCCCACCATGCACTTCACCATCGAGGAGGGCTTTGTTAAGGCCACCACAGTCGGCCAGATGGGTTGGTTCTACCTGATGGGTGCCATGTATATCACTGGGGCTGGTCTGTATGCAGCCAGGATCCCTGAACGCTATTTTCCTGGAAAGTGTGACATCTGGGTTAGTATTTGATGTGTTACATTACATAACAGAACTTAGGAAAGCCAGATGATTAGTAGCGCAAACAGTCGTCCCCCACCCCCTCCCCCCCCCCGCCCCCCTCAAAATGGACTAATGATGATATTAAACTTCAATCGGCTTAATGGAGAGAAAATCTGCCAAGCTTATAGACATCTTTGTGTGATGAACACGATGCAGTGTTAACAAATGTGAATATTTCTGCTAAACAAAGGAGCAGTTTCAGACACAGCTGTAGACAATGGATGTATTCTTTTTAGTTTTTGTTTGATCAAACTGGCAAATGATAATGAATGAAACTAATACATAAACATCTCTTTCTCTGCTTCTAGTTCCACTCTCATCAGATTTTTCATGTTCTGGTTGTGGCAGCAGCATTCGTCCATTTCTACGGGGTTTCCAACCTGCAGGAGTTCCGCTACGGCCTCGAGGGGGGGTGTACAGATGACACTCTACTCTGAGAGGCCTGACTGTGACTTACTCATACTTTTCTTTATAGTCACACACACACACACACACCACACCACACACTCAAACAATCAATCACTTAAAATGCTGCTGGAATTCAATATAGTCACTTATTGCTCCTTCTGTACTTCTGATTTGCTAACATCTTGTTTGGGTTTTGGTGGTCTTTCTGTTCGGCTCTTTTTTGCTCCAATAAAGTAGCATTAACTAGCCATTGAACTACGGAGGGAATCTTCAACTGGCACTACTTCTACAATACGTATTAAATTTGAAGTCTACATTTTCAAGTAAGGTCAAAATGGGATTTTAACCAAAATCGTATATTCCTGTATCTGATGGTCACTTCTTTGAAGCTCACTAGTACCCCAACCTCCTTGTACTCTGTTACCATTGCACCAAGGGCACAGAGAGTATTATTTGTGCTGTAGCAAAGGGCACATACTGTAAACCAGTCCCATCCTGCCTCCCGGTCTCATGCAGGTTAGAGGATGAATGTACTGTCCACCAGGAGTGAGGTGTAGAGCAGTCCAGGACCATTTAGGTGGTTGAGGGCCTGCACAAACACCAGCTGTTTTCTAACTGTGCTGACGCTGATTGTGCGGCTGTGTGTTAAAACCTGGAGGACCACTGCGAAGCCACCCATGCCCACTCTGCAATAAAACATGAACTCTACTCTTAAGGCCCAGTTATTCAATCTAAAATCACATTAGAATGAAATGAAATACAATTTTATGAAAGGAACATAGCACATACATCTTATGAATGTGATCGATAGATGTGGTAAAACAAGGTGCAATACTCATCAGGATTCTTAACAAAATGATCAAAAATGAAGGGACTGGATACTTAAACTAACTGATATTCTCAGTTTCTTTGAACTGAATTTTGAAATTAAGTTCCTCTGCATTTGGATGCATTGTTTTGAATTGACAAAAGTCCCAAACAAATGATTTTCAAATGACATAATGGCATAGAAAATGTAGAAGTTAAGAGAGCTCCCCTGCTGTACTGCTTCAGTCAGACAACACATCGTTGATTCATTTCCAGAGTAATAGTTTCTGGGCGTTGCACAATGTACAGATCTGGAGAGGTCAAATTGTGGTTTTGTCTGCTAGAGATGTTTCTTTTGTTCTAGATTTCAGATGCAATGAGAGGTGTAAATATCAAATGCACCTTAGTGTATACTATTAAATTCAAAACGTTAAATCACTGTATGGGATTTAAAATGTGTTATGTATGATTGATATAAACTTTTAGTGTTCCTGTGCCTTAGGCCAATGGAAATGTTTTTAAATAAAACGGCCTATCTTAACAGTCGAGGGAGCTTCATGGATTTCCAGATGTTGATTTTTCTTGTTTTCCTTGCCATATATACAATCAAATCTTTATTGAACGTAAAACTCCATGGATAGGTTGTATCAACTGCTGTTTAAGACTCCTTTTTCTAGATCAACTTATTCGAGCTTTATTACAAAGACTAAAACAATGTGTATTCTCGACTTTGTGTAATGTCCTGTGTAGAAAGTGATAAATCATACATTTCACTGAAATGTAAACATCAATATTTATTAATGGTAATCTTGGAAAATTATTGGAATAAATTTTTTCCACATGTACAAACATGGTGTCCAATTGTCAATCGTTTACAATGTAAGCCTATGACATCGGCAGTAAGCAACTTTGAAGGCAACAGGATTAAACCTGCAGTTTATCACGTGTTTTATCGCCGTACAAAATTGTGTTTACTAGTAGAGATCAACGGTTACCATGTTTTGAGCACACAAACCGAGGCGACACAACAGGATCTTCCTTGTTTTCCTTAATCTCCTGGGATTAGCTGCTGGCTGGAGACCAGGAACTGGGGCAGAAAGATGTGTGGTGTGACACCACAGCTGTAATAATGTCACTAGAAAATGCTTGCTCACTTGTTCTTTTGCTGAAATAAATTGATCCATAATTAATTTGCATTAAAATGCCAAACGACAGTCTATCGGGATGATAAATCAGACATAATTAGAAAGCATTTCTCCTTCAAGGCTTCACAATCATTTAACATATTTATTATCACTGTTTTCATTACTGTGTCCTTTGTAGATTAGGGCTTTGTACAACAGTGAATTCTGAAAATTAAAAAGTATATTTGGATTATGCATTACACTAACTCTTTAACTAATTGCGTAGTCTATTGATTTACATTTTTCACTGATTTCAATCAATGAAAACATTGTCTGATGGATTATTTTGTGAGGTGATCACCAGTGATGTCATCACGACCCTTGTGTGAAATGCGTAGGCCTCGAATCCCTTCTCACAAAATATACATCACTAGTTTAACCGGCCTCGCCTAGTGACTGTCCAGCCAGGACACGAGGCCCAGTGGTGTCTGACGAGCAGGGCCGAAATAGATTTTTTTTTTTTTTTTAAAAGGGCACCAGTGCGCAAAGGTTTTCTAGATCGTAGGGTAGCATATGTGACCCTGCATCATTTCTGCAGTTTGTTGAACATGGGGCACACATTTTATGCTATTTTATACTTCTACTTCACTATATAGTGGGATATTGATGTTGTACGTTTTACTCAGTTTCATTAAGTTGACAGTTAGAGTTACATCAAAATGCTGCTTCTGTTTTCAGAAAGATTCACCAGAAATTAAAAATCAATAATTGACAAGGACCATTCTCATTACTCGGTACTTTTACTTTTTGTACTCTTTAAGTACACTTTGCTGGTAATACTTGTGTGGTTTTACTAAGGGATTTTTATTATTAATGACCTTTACTTGTGGGGTATTTTATACTAAGGCATAACATCTAAGTATCAAGTAGAACATCTGAGTATTACTACCATCGTTGCATAACTCAATTTCATCTTCACAAACGGCAATATCTTCTGTTATTGTCAGAAATGCTTAATGTTTTGCAAAACTCAGTTGCTATTTCGTGTAGCGTAGTCACAATTATTATGGAGACCATAAAAGACCAATTAAATGTAACCATACAATTGTCATTTTCTACAGTATATTTATTTACAAATGTTGTTACACTCTAGTCAACAGAACAAGCAGAAGTCTATCCGGAACCAAAGCACGTCCATGTGTTTCTGAACGAGAGCATTTAGTGGCTGGTAGACTTCATGACCAACTAGTTTGCTCTGTTTTACGATTTTATTGTCATATTCAACATTGTCTTTTCTTCAACATTTAGGTACGTGTTATTTGACTTTATTCAATAGTGTGCGTTTTATTTGTATTGATGTTTACTGTTCATGTAGATGTCTGTTACTTAGTCTGTTGAATTAATTGTTAGCACAGATGCAAGGGGTGGGGTTTACAGTTGGTGAGTATTGTAGTTTTTTTAAACTAACTACCCTTATAGATAAATATCTCAGACCGTGGTTCAGCATGAAGATTGCCATAATTATTTTTTTGGGACATAAATGAAGCATGTAAACGTTGATTTTATTTGTCACGGACTTCCGGACTACGAAGGTTCCGGATATTTGTAACACCGGACCTCTCACTGTGTGCGCCCCATCGTTCTTTTCGTTATCATAGCACTCCTAACTTAACAGAAGCCAGTTAGCTTGGTTCAGTGCGGTTTGGGCCGTTAGAAGATACCGTAATATGGCCAGTAACCAAGAGTCCAAAGACGGCACGGACCGGTCCGACCTGGTTTCTGAAGACGGGAAGAATATCAAAACGGTCGTGTGTCAGCGCTGCGGATCCAAAGTGCTCTGCCCGGGGATGGCTGTGTTTGCAGAGAAGGAGGTATGATGTCTGACATAAAGCGATGGGCTCACGTCAGTGCTCTGCTATATTAATATTTAATCTGCCTGTCCTCGGTTAATATAAATCATTCAATAGTTTGTGAATGGCACCATTTCATTTCACGGTGCTTTACATGTTAATAAAACCAGTGGTACAATGCAACTATATACATTGACTCAAATAATGAAGTTAAGTGCAGATTTTAGGAACACAACTGGAGTATTTATATTTGATGCTACTTTACAAGTGTTCCAATACGGTTCATAGAGAACTATTCCAGTTGTACTCCGCTAGATGTATTTGATAGAGTTACTAGTTAATTTGCAAACAAAGATTTTACATTCAAAACGTATGAAACATTTCTAAAATATTACGCATTATTGTAGATTAAACTACCCAACCGTATATAAAGTAGTAAATTATTTCACCCCGAGCAACTACAGGAGACAAATATCACTTGCATATTAATGCATCAGCATTAATAACAAGTACAATTATATTTTATAGTTTAACACTAACTGATGCAATGTTAATGCATTGAGATTTTTCAAGTACATTTTGCTAATATCAGTTATTAATAATTATTTTATTTAAGTAACACTATAAATGCATTACTTTTACTTATAATGGGGGATTTTTACATTGTAGTATTGCTACTTTTATTTTAGTAAATGATGTGAAAACTTGTTTTAACAGTAAATGAAACAATAGGCAGAAACTGATACATACATAGCTTTAGGAGAATGCTAAACCAAATAAAAAGGTCTTGATAGCATCAGTAAATATCATAGTCTAAGATCAGCAGGCGGACTGTCTAATTCTTGAATATGAAGAGGATTGGTGCCTTGTGATCTGAGACATCACCAGGGTTTATACACTGTAAGCACGATATATATTTTGGCCATTTAGATCTTGACAAGCAACAGCCAGCCAGTGGTGGTTTCTAGGGACCAGAGTGGGGAAGTCCGATTTTGATATCTCTTTGATCCAGCTTGGTCTAACTATATACAATGAAAGATATGAATACATGGCAACCTGTTCATGAATATACTAAGTCCTACGTGATTTTCAGAAATGTTTTCATGTCATCTGAGGCTATGTTTTCACTCACCAGCTGTTCCTACCGTCCATGCGGAAAAAGAGCGGCCTCAGCACCACAGAGGGCTCCGTGGACGGGGACACTCTGACCGCCCACTGGTTTGTGGACGACATGTACACTTTTGAGAATGTGGGCTTCACTAAGGACGTGGGGAGAATAAAGTATCTCATCTGTGCAGATTGTGAGATTGGACCAATTGGCTGGCACAGTTTGGATGACAAGAAAAGTTTCTATGTGGCTCTGGAAAGGGTGAATCATGCATAGTCTAAATGCATATGTGAGCCCACATGAACTGAAAAAAATGTGTTGTCAGGCTATGCATCTTTTCATGGATTTACTCCAAACACTTGCATATACTGGTATGTGTACGTTGTATATGATAAAAGGACTGCTACTCTCATTCTCCTCCATCACACTAACAGTAGGATCATGCTGTTCTAATAAATATGTTTTTTTGCAAGCTGATGTTGAATACCATCCTGGATAATGTGATGTTAAACTCCCTCATCTCAGCGTCTTTTAACCCACAAAATCACTTTCAGTCAGATTAAAAGATGAAAATCATACTGACACAAGTCAGTGCTCGTTTAACTCATTAAAATAGTTGAGTACTAAAACGATCAGATTAATCAATTGACTAATTTTCATTATTGTTAATTGGATACTTTTTGATTTTATACTTGTGGTCAAACAAATGCAGTTTGAAGATAAAATGTGCGTCTCTGTGATCTGGTGATGGACATTTCTCACTATTTTTCTGTCATTTTATAAATTGGGTGAATTCACTAAACATGTTTGATGGATTATTAAATACTGGAGATAAGTTACTCACTGTTGAGAAAAATCAGGTCCCCATTTGCGTGATTGTACCCTAAAAATACAGTGAGCATCATCGTCTGACATTCAGCTTGCTCCACATCTTTTTGCTGAAATGGCTACAAGAACCTGTCACTTCTTATACAATTGTTATTAAAGCACATGCACGGTCTCACAATTCTCAAGTACCCAACGAGGCAAGTCCCAATCATATTGAAAAAAACACCCAAGATAGTCTTGTCGTCAAATGTGCATGAAAATGTACATGGTGGTTGTTGTGGCCCTTGGTTTAGTTTTAGGTTGCAACATTTATTTTACTCTGGCTAATCCACAGACCTCACCAATAACGGCACATAATATTCACTGAAGAAATACTCATTATGAAAACAGTTTACAGCAGGGGTGAATCTCATTTATACTCTTTGCCACTAGATACTGTGATTTTGTTATCTCTTACATGATCATAGTCATTGTTGCTTTGTGTGTGCTGTGCACCTATCAACTAAAGGCTCTACCCCCCACCCTGCCAGCTGAACCCCACCAAACCAGAGGCCTTGGTGGTGGTCAGCAGACAACACTGTGAATTGAAAGTGTTTGAAAGTCACCTGCCATGTGAAGGCTACCTGTTAATGTCTACAATCCACCAAGGGGAAGCTCGAGCCAAACAGAGAACAGAGACATTCAAATCACTTCCCTAGCCCAGATGAAGTGGTAGGTTACTGTTATCAGCAGAAGGTACAGCTGTTGCTCCTAAAAAAAATGTGTTTAAGATTGTGTGATTGATAATGTAATATTGACAAACAACACAAATATGATAAAGTTATTATTCAAAATAGATGACCTCACTACATAGACGGCTTTCGATGACTTTAACAACCAATGTCAACAAACAGACAGTGGATAATATAATGCAATGTACAACATCTTGTAGATGTGTGAACAAATAACAGTACTATATGCTATAACATTCTGTATATTTAAATTGATCACACACGGACCCTAATGAAAGCATTTTCGAGTAAAATGGTCACCGCCTCCAGAATGTGTCGATAAAGGTTTTTTTTTCTGTATGTCGGTATTATTTAGCAAGTGGCTTCGTGCACATTGGCAAAAACTGTAAATGCATGTTTAAACGATAAAACTGTGGCACGTTTTTAAACTATCATATTTTACTATATTATAAAGACTTTACTATTGAGGCGTTCAGGAGTCAGCCATGAATAAACGACATACCGGTATTTACAATGTTTGTTATTAAAACATAAGCAGCTGAACTATCAACATATGACCGTAGATTCTACCAATCAACGAGCTCCTCTAGACCATTTAAAAACGAAGTGCCGGTCAGCGCGCAACGATCTAGTGGGTATGTTCGATTAGAAAACCCAATGTACCATCTGATATGTCTATTATTCCGGCTAAGCCGGGCGGGGTTAGGAGAAGCCAGAATCAACCAATACCTTCATTTGTCAACCGACTCAACACCGTACACCCGCGTGCACAGCGGGTGCATGAATCAAACCCATCCAACAGGGGGGCAATCATCTGATAGGAAAACACGGAACCAATACTACTCTATAATCCTTAATTTAAGAGTATTGTGCCCACGAAGTGTTAACAGCGCGAGAGCAAACTCTACGGTAGTGTGTTTTAAGATATTAAAGTAAATTGAAATAACGTATAAGGCGTTAACTCTACTCTAACAGTGTCCAACAGGCATTTAACTCCTTCAAACCGATACAAATGAGCTGTATCGATGTAGTAAAATCAACTATAAACACAATCAGTATTGGCATGTGGAATTAAATGATAAATTGTGTGTTTGCGTGCACAATCACAAACTGGTTGTAAAAACGAGTGTAGGTTTATGAGTGTCTACATTTCGAAGCGGAGGTACACAGTCTCTTGCTGTCACTTCGCGTCTCCAACTAGATAATTCGTCTTTGAGTTCAATGAGTGGAGAGTGGACATGAACTGAAAGACGAGGAATCCATTGCGAGCATATTCGGCGTGAGGAAGCCCATTAAAAAAAAAAAAACAACAACAACATTTCAGCTTGAGTCATAACGAAGATGCAACGATGACTCAACCACAGCTGAATGAGTTCATTCCTCCTCCGGAGTGCCCTGTTTTTGAGCCCAGCTGGGAGGAATTCGCCGACCCTTTTGCGTACATCAACAAAATACGACCTATTGCAGAGAAAACTGGCATCTGCAAGGTCCGACCTCCGCCGGTGAGTATTTCTTCATTTTGATAGTTATTCGAGGCTTCTTTTTTTCTTTTGGCGTGGTGAGTTGGCCTCCGCTGCTGTTGTTAATTTAGCAGGCAAAGTTGTGTTTTTAGACAGCTTTCAACATGGCGGATTGCGGCTCTCCCGAGTTGAATCGTCAGCTAGCCGGAGCCTGGACTGTGTTGTGTTTGCAACAACGAAGTGGAGCTCTATCACATGATTACATCGGTGTCTTAGATCAAGTTTTGAAACCTCCGAACAGCCAGACGTGTATTTATTACAACCGTCATTTTTAAGAGCATGCTTTCTAAAAATAAAAAAATTCAACCGTTGAAGTTTGCCCGTATTCAAATATAAAGGAAAGTGTTTACGTATGAAACGCTTCCTGGACTGGTCGCACGGAAATTAGCTCACCGAGATTTAAACTAATAATTTGACCCGTTGCCTTTTAAACAGTTAGTTGGATGTATAGCGTAACTTTCCCAACGGTATTTGAAGGATTTAGCCAGTATGAGGTAACCAACGGCTAACGTTAATCGGGCCCGTTTAAAGCTGCAGTTGTGACATGTAACGTCAACGTTTCTAACGTTACGTACGTGCTCGGTGACCAACTGTTTATGGAGAGAAGAGACTGTTTAACGGCTCAACGGACACTGCGTTTCTGTATTTTAAAATCATAGCTTTAATATGTTTAAAAAACATTTTTTTTATTTTAATTTTTTTTTTTTTTAGCTAACTTGCAGAATAACGTTATATCGTTATTATTAAAGCAATTGTCGGGCTTTATTTATTTTGTCTTATTGAGGGTAATTTTTGCCATCATCCACACCTCCTAACCGTCACATATTATCAGGACAGAAAGTAGATGAAGTAACGTTTGTAATAGACTTTCTAAAATGGACACAGTTGAAATGTATCTCACAATGAGCTTAATTCTGTTGGGGTGGGAGAGGAAACATATTTATTCAAGGGTGTGTCCAAGCTTCCACGCCAATTAGATGGAGGGCAAATACTCTGGAATAATAATTATAATGGGTGATTCTCTCATGTTGTAATAATAATATTACCTTGAATGATGACATGGTTTTTTTGGCAGTTACCAATGTATCACTTTAAAAACATTGAGGTCAAGGATGCAAATTGTTAACATAGACTCCCAGTTGAAATAGGGAAGTGTGTGTAAGCCTATTCACGGGCCCAACAGGACGGGTAGTGCTGCAATATAACCCCAAAAAAGGGTGGGGAGTGGGGACTGCTTGGTGTTTGCTCTTCCAAAAGAAACCTTCTTTTAAAGTGCACAGCTCATGTACACAAAAGAAGGCAGTGGCAAAAGCTTTGAGCATAGATTAGAAGCTGATAGTCGAAGTCTACCTTTAGACCAGATGAACCGGAGGAACTGTTGGTTATCCTAGTATTTATAAGTCAAACCCCACCATTTGTCCCACACTGTGCACCATTGTCTGAAGCCCTGTGTCATGCACCAGTATTTCTACTGGATATATTTAGACTCCAGGGTGGTTTGTGGGGCCAAACTAATAACAACAATCTTAAATCCTTCAGCCATATGAATCTGAGCTCATGAGAGTTGATTGCTATTAAAGCAGCATTGAAGTGCATCATTTTAATGTTTGTATGAGGGCATCCTGGAGACTTGTATGGCAGAGGTTCATACAGTGTACATGTTACGTCCTGTGTTTTTTAGATATGATCTGGCCTGAGATCTCCTTTTCTTTGTTTAATTTTTCTCTAAATTTTTTCTCTAAAATAAACAATATGTTTTTTTTAGAAGGGAAGAAGTCATTGCACCACAATCTGTTTTGTCTGGGTGCACAGTGCATGGTCAGTATTTCCTCCACGGTTTTGCTCGCGTCTTATTTTTACTGTAGATGTTAGTGGCACATATGCAAATGATTTTCATCTTGAGGCAGTTTGTGGTTAGCTTCTCACCACTCGTATTTGTCATTTTGTGAGTGGCGAAAGGCTTGTCCTTTTCATACCAAAATTGCACTTGTACTCTAACTGGTGTGGTCAGACTTAAAAAAAAAAAAAAAAGAAGCCCTGTGCAGTTCCATATGTTTAAAAGCGATTGTTTTCTTTTGTGGCAGGACATTTGTGGTTGTGAACCAGCTTTGTCTGCAGATAAGGTTGTGTTAAAGCGACTGTTGTTGTCTCTACTCTGACCAGCATTTCTATCCTAGTAAGATTAAAAAGCCTTTCTAGACCCAGTAAATCGTTTAATGTTTCATAGTGCTAATAGGTGGTCAGTTACAATGAAAATGCTGACTATTTTAAAAGTGAACTATGTGCTTCTGTACCCATTAAGAAACATCGTGATGGTTGAATTGGATCCAGAGCTGTAGCTTAGTTTCCAGGCTCGGCCGAAGCAGGTGACATGATCTGTTCTTCACCACATCTCGCGTGCCAATTTGGCACATTCAACTTTTCAATTCAATAATGTAGTGTCAGCTCTAAGATGTGAACTTTAAAGCAAAAGTTAATATCTTAATTTGCTTCTTATACACATGTGATAACAAGTTGATGTATCTCATCCTCCACAAATTACTCTGTACTACGAGTGAATGGGAAAATACTGCAATATGATAAAATCTAATACAAATTTAGAGCAAATCCAAATATTAAAATCCAAATCGTAGATGTAGGTGGTAGCTAGTTATTGCTTTA